CCCCCCACCCCACCGGCGGGTCCAGTGGGGAACAGCCGCCTTAACCACCAAGCCACCCGCTGGTCCAGTGGGGAACAGCCGCCTTAACTACCACACCACCTGCTGGTCCAGTGGGGAACTTTTAGAATCTTGCTGTAAGGTCATAGCTCTGGAATGAAGGGAAAAAGCTGGCTGCCCTCTATTTCTATTCGTATATAGGTGTGTTTGCATTATTGCCTACCAGAAAATAGATATATTCACCCAACCTAAATGCGTTTTACTGAAGATGTTTGCTATCATATTAAGTTTTAATTAAGATGAAGAGTTTCTCAATGTAGTACTAGTTACGTATAATCCTTCTGCTGAAGTCTGAGTATGAAAAAAATAAAACAGGAACAATGCTGATGCATCCATATAACTGTCCTCAGCTGCCCACCCCTCAGCAAAGAAACAAAAATAGGAACATGTAATTGCTGTTATATTATCTCGAGTATTTCTACACATAACTCTAAATGATTTAAATATTTCATAGATTATACATAGGGTAGATTCCAAACACGTGTGCCATTAAGAATTGTTGAGCCAGCCAGGGAACTGGAGGTTAAACACCTTATTCCCATTTTACTCAATACATGTTTGAGTCCTAGACCCAGTGGCTTGAAAAACATGCTAAGTACATGTGAGGGCATGCCCAAAATCTGAGACATGAACAGAGGAAAAGGGATTGCAGCTTGGCCATCCCCCGGGGGTGCTTTCTCACTTTCAGTTTCTCTCTGTGCATCACCAGGAATCACACATGCTCTACAGAAAATTTAAGACCAGAAGACTACCAGATGTGGAACATTGTCTCATTCATATATACTGAGGCAATTAGTTTTATAAAAAAACTAAATGTGTTCATTAAAATGATCTTTTTACACTGCGATGGAAAACTTGCCCATACAAGGGAAACTAGCGGGCAGGTACCTGTTGGATCTAACCCGTGTATCGTTCTACGGCTGGACTCTGTCCTCTGAGGCTGACGTATATTAACTGAGTTCTCACAACAATGTAAAACAGTCGGAATCATTATTATTCCCGTTACGGAAATGAGAAACACAGCCCTAGACAGTTAAGTAACTGAGTAGTTGAGGAGCTGAAATTTAAAACTTTCTGTGTGGCTCTAAAGGCCTTGCATTTAAGCACTGCCAAAAAACACTGCCAAAATCCAGTTAACACAGAAAAGGTGCAGAAATAATCCACACCTGGCTCCCTATCGCATGTTTTCCATCACGAAAGCAGAAGCGTTATGTCTCGAACCTTCAATGTGTGAATAATCGTGCCAATTTTCCACTTCATTTCTTGTGTGCATACACAATCTCGAAACACCACCCCCTCCATCCTAGCCTTTCTCCCTATGAGAATGTATTAAAACTTGATTCTTCAAACGTGTACAATGAGACAGACCTGCACTGTTTGGACGTAGCAAAATGTGGATGGCACACATTCAACACCTTCGAATTAAATTCTTCTATAATAATAATGTTTTCACTTTCAAAATATGATTCAAAAAGGCTGGGCAATCTAAATCTTCCTCCCCTGTCCTGGCATCATCACACCGAGACCATTAATGGTGATTTCCGTGCATCGCATCTTGCCAGTTCGTCCAATTTAGGCGAAAGCTGTTGTTCCCTAATTCTATTTCACTGTAAATGACAGAGACAAATGGCCGTATTACCTCCAGAGTCCCTCTGGCAGAGTAGGCCGCGTACGAGGAGAGCAGATCCCGGCTGCCATCTTTCCTGGCTTCACTGCAGGGCTGGCCGTCAGGATGGAAGCACTGGCCACTGCTCAGTGTCACAGAGCTGGGAAGCGGGCCTGGCAGACTAAGCAGCACTGAGTAATTTATGGACTGGACATCTTCGAGGCCCAGAGAAGTCCACTGAGTCTTAATCTTCTTTGAAATTTCCGTATCATCTTCACTTTTATGCAGTTGTACCAAATTTCTGAAAGAAATTAGAAATAAAAAACCCACACACTTAAAACAAAGAAAAGAGAACTTTGTTCTTTTGAGAGATGACTGTTCGATATAAGAACAATTATTAATAGACATTGTGGGATTTGGGAAAATGAGTAAAACAAACCTTCCTGCAAGAAATTGACTGTTTGATAGAGTTGATGGACTTACCCAGAAATGGCACTAAACCAAGCAGAATGAAGTAATTTAAGTTAGAGCCAATCAAACACGCCAGGATGGCAGAGGGAGTGAGTAATTCATGCCTGCTAGTTCCCTTATTAGTGCTGGTCCTTTCATCAACATCAGCATAATCTTTTTAGAACTCAGTCCCCAAGCTAGACACCCTGCTGGTGGAGGGTTCTGGGCTGCAGTTAACACGTTCCACACACGCTGCCGCGACTCACAAACCTACTGCAGTCAAAATGATCCAGAGCGAGCCCTTGGATACAATTCCAAGAACGCCGCCGCGACTCACAAACCTACTGCGGTCAAAACGATCCAGAGCGAGCCCTTGGATACAATTCCAAGGCCATTCCATGAGGGCACGAGTACAATGGAATGGTCAAAGCATGGTAAAACCAAAACAGACCGCCGGACCAGTACCGCGTCAGTGTTTGTGATGGGCTTCGCAGAGTTCCTATTATTTCTACCCCTGGTCCGTAAGCTCCTGCGACACTGTTTTTGTTTATGCTAGTCTAGAAACCAGACAAAATCTGTTTTTTTTTTTAAAAGAGATTTTTGCGATAAGGCGCTTATGGTCACCAGAGAGACCGAGAGTGAGAAATCACCCCCCAGGGGGGATGGCCACACCGCAAACCCTTCTCCTCCACTCTCCTCCCGGGATCTTGGGCACGCACGCACACGTGCCCGGCGTGAGTTTAAGCTGCCAGGTCTGGAACTCAAACTGCGGTCGACCACACGTGAGTCCAGCGATGTAACCATTATACCATCTGCTGACCCCACAAAAATCTGCTTGAAAAAAATTTGTATAGTTCTTAGAACAAAATCAGACATGGAGGCTTAATAAAAAGTAAGTTACTTCAGGGTTTTTTTTCCTTTTCCGACTGAAATAAAAAAGGTACCAAAAAGAAAGAGCTTCCTTTGGGGGCAAAAACACATCCCTTTACAGGAATTTAATTGCTGTCCAAACGCACCTCTCTGTTTATTTGGATACTGTTATTTTCCACTTTTCACTCCCGTTAACCTTGCCTCCCCACGTCCGCACTGCGCCCGCCCTGCCTTGGCTGCGGCTGCAGGCTCCGCACTGCTCACAGGCCGAGGACCCCGCGCTAGAACTCTGCGGAACGTAAGGAGAGAGGCGCTCGGAAAGGGACATCGATCACCTCCTGAAGACACAAAGTGACCTCTCAGAGCACACAGTTCACGGATGCAGTTTAGCTACCCATGGTCAGGATTGCCAGAAAGAAGAAATCGTGAGCACGGCCTCAGACTCACTCGCCTACCCAGTGGGTGAACCCCCAGGCCCAAGGTGTTGAATCCGTCATTCTTGTCTGTTCCCCCAGAGGGCGCACGTCAGACATGGAGAGAGAGCACCCAGCAACGCGGACTCACGCACTGCGCTTTTTCCCTCCTTTGCCTCTCCTGTCAGGATCCTGGGCACTTGCGCATGAGCCAGGATGTTTTTCAACTCTCAGCCCGCCATGTGGGATCCGACTCCCTCTGCACAGCACCTAACCACTGTACTTCAGGGCCAGGCCTGACGTTTATTTTGCTGGTGTCAGTTCCAAAACACTTTACGGTGTTAACAGCTCAACGAAACACTGACTGGTTCAAGATGCCTAAGTTATAATACCTGTATTAATAAGGCCAATCAAGAACTTCTTTAGGGGCTCAACTGAAGAATCAGTAATTTGTCACAATTCTGGAAATTCTCTAAATATCATTAGTGTACTCTTTACATTTAATTTACAGGATATGTAATTTTTGCATTATAATTTAATTTTTAATGTTATAAACTGATTTGAACATATAAATATATATAATGTATAAAAAATGATGAACCCAATTTATGAGCTAGAACATCTCTAATATCAAATCCCCCCGAATACTCTTTCTTAATTCTATTACTCATCCTGACCCCGAGGGCAGCCATTGGTCTGATTTTTTTGTTTCCCATGGCCTTGTTGAACATATATATATAATGTATAAAAAATGATGAACAACCCAATTTATGAGCTAGAACATCTCTAATATCAAATCCCCCCGAATACTCTTTCTAAATTCTATTACTCATCCTGACCCCGAGGGCAGCCATTGGTCTGATTTTTTTGTTTCCCATGGCCTTGTTTTTACAGATTTCTATGCATGCATGTATAGATCCTTCACATTTTACATGTTTTTACTTTTATATCATTTTTAATTTATGATATCTTGTGCCACGTGTTTTTCAATCAATTTTGGGTTTCTGAGATTCTCCACATTGTTTTTTAATCAATGCTCCTGAAATAAATATTTCACAGTTGTTTCTAGCTTTTCATTATGATAAACAATGCTACTTTGAACATTTTTATTCATGTTTCCTGACAGACACATGCAAGAGTTTCTCTAGGCAAGGATTTATTTGTCCATAGGGTAGGTACCTATAACCTAGTAAGAAATGCCAATATGTTTTTAAAATAATTTTGATTACATTTCTGCCAGCTCTTCACGAGAAATCATATTTCTCCATCCCTCATCAACACTTGATATTGTCTCATATTTTATTTCTATTGCATTTTATACTTTTGCCAATATGTTGGGTGTGAAATTTTATTTTTATCATATATTTATCTCAGAAACACAATCATTGGATTATAGGATAGGCCAAATAGCTTTCCAAAGCTTTCTGTGCCACCAGCATTATTGAAGAGGTCCCACTGTCAGCGTTTCTGATGACAGGGTAAGATTGCATCCCACTGTGGTTTTAATCTGCATCTTCATGATTACTGATGAGGATAGTTTCATGTATTATTTAACCACTCATGTTTCCTTTTCTGTGGAATAACTGCTCTCTTCTTTCCCCATATCTGTAGAAGAGACTCTATGTTGGGGAAGATCCTTTTTAGTCCTGTGTGAACCCATTCATAGCTTCTCCCAGTGGATGGGTTCGCTTTGCAACCTTGATGTGTTGTCGTCTTACGATGAACGAACATAATTTTAATGTACATAACTCTTATATAATGTAAAGCGTTGTACAGTTTCTGACATGCTAAAGGAATTTGAGGTCATAAGCATATTCTTATTTCCCCCCAAAGTTTTAAATAATAATTTTTCACTTCTCGATGTTTACATGAGGAGAGGGAGTGAGAGAGGATGCTGTGGGCAGGAGGGCAGCCTCAGCTTTTCCTACCACTGTCTCAGTACCTCTCGGCAGTCCTCCCACTAACACACCAGGACAGAGCGACTGCAGCGCAGTTTCCCTAGAGCTCTCGGTCGTCAGTCTGTCTAAGCTCCCTTGCCAGTTCCCTCAAAGGTTTTTTATCTTTTTTTTTTCTTTTTTGCTGTAAGGCCCATGTACTCCCCAGAGAGATATAGATAGAGAGGAAAAGTGAGAAATCAACCACCCCCGGGGGACAGGGGGGTGGTCACACCACAATCACTTTTGCTCTGTCCTCTCAGGATTTTGGACATGCACACACATGCGCCTGGTGTGATTTTCAAGCTGCAGGATCCAGTACCCGGAACACAGAGCTGGCTATGTGGACTCAGGTGCCTTTAACAACTATGCCCCTTGGCTGATCCTAGCTGTTGGTTTTCTTTAATCTATCTTCACAATAATGTGCTGTTTTCATTATTGCCACTTTATAATAGGTCTTAATTTGGGGAATCACAAGTTGCCCCAGTTTTTCTTTTTGGACATCTTAACTATTTTTCCTTTCTCTCCCAAGTTAATATAGGAATAATCTCATTAACTTTTATGTCAAGATGGTTATTGGAATTACATAAAGTCTGAATATCAATTTGTAAAAATATATATCTCTATCATAAAATCAGAATAAGCCCTTAACATTATTGCTGTGGTCTGAATTTTTGCATACCTTCCAAATTCGTATGTTGAAATCCTAATTCTCAATGGTATTAGAAGGTGCTGGTGGAAGTCTTTGGAGGGTGATTAGATTATGACAACAGAACTTTTATGAATGGGATTACTGTTCTTATAAAAGATGTCAGAGGAAGTTCTTTGCTCTTTCACCCATGTGAGGACGCAGCTAAAAGGCACAGTTCATTAGGAAGCAGGCCAACACCAGGCCCTGAGGACATCCTGATGTTGGATTTCTTAGCCTCTGGAACTGCAAAACACGTTTCTGTTACTTAAAAAAACACCCCACTGAGGGATTTTGTTACAGCAGCCTTAGCAGACCAAGACAACCACCATGTTAACATGAAACATATGTTGAAAAATTAAACCACTAGGCCAGCCTATAACCTAGTGGTTAAGGGAAGTAGAGATACCATATGGCCCGCCTTATTTCCTTCCCACCTAAGCTGCCTAAAAACCATCTCAAATGTATGTGCATGCATGTCCCAAATCCCAGAGGGCTGGACAATGGAAGAGAAGGGATTGTAGTGTGACCATGTCCCACTGGGGTCTGCTTTCTCCCTTTCCTTCTCCTCCTCACTTTGTCTCTCTCTGGTGAGCACATGCACCCTCTGGCAAACAATAAAAGAGAGAGAAGGCTGTTTGAAGAATGAGCAGTGAATTTGATCAAGTTTTAGTAGGTTTATTGACCACCATATGACCTTTTATTCCACTATTCTTGATAGGGCACATGCATCTGCGTGAGAGAGAGAGGAAAGGAAGTAAGGGGAGAGACATGGCTCCACAGGGATGGGCGTTGCTGTGAGTCTCCCACTGTGCTCCAGCTCGCCAGGGTCCTGGGCGTGCGCACACACAGCGTGTGTTCAGGCAGCCTGGGGCGTAGCCTGAGCTGTGGTCCGAGTGTGGCTTCCAGTTCAGCGGTCTGGTACATTACCAGATAAATCACAGAG